TGTGTTATTTAGACCAGTTTAGAATATATTGATTCGATTTTGTCCGTCTTTGGTCCGAATTGATTCGATTTGGACCGAACTAAATTACGATTTTATTGACAACAATTAATAAAATTGATGTAACCGGGTTACCCGCTCGTGGAACCGGAACCACCGGTTCCGAGATTGGTTTAAAAAATTTAAGAATTGCCTAAACTGGTTCCGGTTACGGTTCTAACTGTCTAGGAACCGCCGGTTCCGGTTCTCGCCAAATGAGACGGGTATCCGCCTATCCTAATCCCTACTAAAAACTATGCTTGTGTTAAGTGGGTTGATAAAAAGTAATTTTGACAAAAGCTTTCCCCCTATTAGACTTTACCACACATAAATTCGTACTCAGGGTAACGCCGTTCATTTTTTACAAACTGATTTTTTGTGTGAACAGTCGATTTTGGGACAATTTTATTATATTAATTAATTGTTAAAGGACTGTTCATACATTTTGACCATAATTTAGGCACCATTTGTATATTTATCCCTAAGATGTATCGTAGAGAGCGGGAGATGGCGATACACATATATGGGGAAGATCCAATGGGCAAACGATGTCGATCCATCAAATAATGGCAAACCCTAGAAGAATTTCATACCCAAGTAACACAGAAATTCCAATTTTCAACACTGAAATCAACAACCCCCTTCAATCACAAACCCTAGCAGCAAGACTCTCAAGATTGAAATTCTTCTTAAAAAAGCCACAAGCTTTCCCCTTTCTGCTATCAATTTTCCTAATCCTAACCTGGGTCTTCCTCAGAATCCAACAGCGGAATTCACAATTCCCATCAATCCCCACCACATCGAATACCAATATCAGGAGATTCTCATTCGATAACGATGAAGATCATGACGCCAATATCATCCGATTCTCTTCTGGGTTCCTATCGCCGATAACCAAAGACAACCGTGGCTGGATGCTCGACCCTGTTTCAATCGCACTAAACTCCGGAATTGCAGGTGGAGCTCTAATTTGTGCTTCTATTCATGTCGGCGAAATCAAACCTGGTGGTTTGAGGGGAAATCATCGACACCATACATGCAATGAAACGTTCTTGATTTGGGGAGCTCGAACAATGTTTAGATTGGAAAATAATGCACTTGGAAAAGGTTTCGCTCAAGTAACTCTCACTGCAGATGATGTAGCAGTTGCTGTTAGCCCTTCAGGAACTGCTCATGCTTTGGTAAACATGGATTCCACACGAACAACATTCATAATCGGATGCCAAGATTGTGTTAACCAACACAATAACTCCAATTCTGATTTCAAAGTTTGGGAAGATCTTTAATCCTAGATTTCTTTGTTTCAATGAACAGCTTTTAGACACTTTACTTTAATCTTGTTCTTTTTGTAAACCTTTATTAGTATCAATACATTATATGTGTTATTTGTAAACATGAATCATTGTCTTCTTTTCAAATTTCAATACATTCTGTTAAAATATCAAATCTAACAGGTAAGAGTACAAAGAGCAAATAGGAAAAACTAATTCTTTTTGGTAAGTTCTTTGAGAATAGAGTCAATCACACCATCTGCAAAAGCTAAGACGTGTCCAGTGTTAGTGAGTTCATGGTACTTGATCCATGGGAGTTGATGTGCTATATAACGCTGTAGTGTCACAGGGACAATGAGGTCTTTTTCACCCTGCCATAAATGAACGGATCCATTGTTGTTTGGAAACGGGTTTTCAAGATCCATTGGATCAAAGTCCCACTTTCCAAATCCAATGTTCAAGTCACGATGGAGTGATTCAAATTCGCCTTGTTGTCTTGGTTGTGATAGCATGGCTTGTAGCTTCAACACACACAAAGAAGAGGAGTAGCATTAGTATACACGTATTATAAATGTGTGTTAAAATTATAGTGTATATATACGACATTTTTCCTTTCTAACAAAAATAATAAACGATGTAATTTGGTTCATTTGAACAAAACAGAGTGAAATAACCAATGAGGTTAAAGTGTGTGTTCTTGTTGAAATATATAAAGTAATTTGAAATTTTCAATTCATTGTTGAATGTGTTTTGATGCTTCTATTTACAACATTGTTATCTATCTGCGGGATTTATCCAGTTTTCCAGGGTTTTTTTTGTTCGGATTTTGGATCTAAATTTTCAGATATTTTTTGGATAAAATCTGACCCCTAAATTTGGTTTCAAAATTTCAATGTATCCGATTCATATCTGGGTATCAGATTTTTCCGGACCGGATATTTTATAACCGAATATTGAAAAATCTGGTTTGGATTTATATTCAAATATCCAAAATCCGAATCCGGTTTGTGCACCTCTACACACGGGCCATGTCTGGTCCAGTTAGCCCATTACCATTGGTTCCTTGTAATGCTATA